TCACTAAGGATTTCTTGGTTAAGCTTGCGATGCGTGGTTGGCGTAGGGGCCCTCGTGGGCAGGATTCTCGTAGGCCGGTTTCAGGGGCATTGCTGCTAGGAATTGCCTCAGTGCTTCCGCAGATATGTTATTCTGCTTATGAAGCCAGTTTATTTCGGTTAGCCTTTATTTTTGCCTTTTTTGGGGCCCTCCGGATTGGGGAACTAATCAGCCCTAGCAAGGGGACTCCGGGGGGTTTGTTATTTCACGATGCGTTCCTCTTGGATGGTGCGGTGCGTTTCTTGATACGACGGTCTAAAACTGACGTTGTTGGAAAGGGTCGCTGGGTTACCCTTCGCACCATCCCTAATTCGTCTGTTTGCCCAGCCTCTGCGTTTTAGTCCTACTGCTCCATACGCCCGAGTCTTGCGGGTCCGTTGTTAATGCACGAGGATGGTACTTACCTGTCTCGTTTTCAATTCCTCCGGGTATTTCGCTTGGCGCTCGACATGCTGGGAATCCCGAGTGGTGAATTTGGGGGTCATTCCTTCAGGATTGGGGCAGCTACAGAAGCTTCTCGGTTGGGTTTCTCTGATCAAGTGATTCAGAGGATTGGGAGATGGGAATCTGGGAGGTTTTGTTCCTATATCCGGCCCACGCGTCTGATGGGTGCCCCCCTTGTGTTTTCTCCGCAGGGCCCGGCCGACGGATCTGGCTGATTGGGCATTCATATATCTACTGGGCCCACCTGCGGGCAGGGGTACGCCCGGGTGGGACGCGACTTGGAATTCCCCGGGAGCTGGCTGAGGTCCGATGGTTCGGTTTTCGGGGCATGCGCTGGGGCCAGCTCTTGCCGGAGGTGTTACAGTTAGCCACATTGTTGAGGGCCCCTGATGTATTGGTGATACACCTGGGGGGAAACGATCTTGGGGCGCTGCCTGCTTGGGGGCTTAGTGAGCTCATTAGACGGGATTTGGCGCGCTTGCTAGTCCTTTTCCCACAACTTTGCTTAGTCTGGTCAGGTATAGTATCTAGGAACTATTGGCGCCGCGCGAGGGATCAGGGGGCGATTGAGCGCTGCAGGGTTAAAATCAACAAGAGGGTGTCCAAATTTGTACTCGGGGTTGGGGGTGTCACAGTGCGACACCGGATATTTGAAAAGGCGATCTATTTTCGCCCAGATGGGGTTCATCTCACGGATGTGGGTTTAGATTTATTTAATCTGGCGCTGCAGGACGCGTTAGAGCAGGCCATGGCGTTGGTGGGGAGTCGCGCCAGCTGATTTAGGCTTAAATGCAGCAGGCGCTAGTGGCGGGTATGGTCCTTGCCAAACCAGTTGGAAAACGAGTACACTGGAAGAAGGAATGCTGGGTCTGGTCCCTCCCCTAACCTCGGAGAGTTGTGGTAATTGGGCGTGCTCCCCGTGCCAGTAAAAGGCGGCCAGGGGTTGGCATGGGGTATTGGAAGGCCAAGGTAAAAGGCCTGTTATCTTGGACGAGGGGGGAGGGCAGGTACCCTGGAAGGGGGTACTCTAGAGTTATTATGGTTCGGTTGGCAAGGACAAGTTTTCGAGTAAATTATTGGTTGATTTATTTATGCTTGTTATTATAAATAAAGCTGTGGCCTGTTTTATACCACACTTATGTCTCTTGGTTTTAATTGGGGGGAAAACGGGAAAATGTAATTATGATTGCATTGGTTCGCACCGCACAGTAACCACTACCTACACACAAGGGAGGTTGTTCTTGCAACAGATAGCAGACAGAGAAGAGAATTCGTGCTTTTAACCCCTGCAGACGTTCAAAGACTTAGAAACATAGAATGTGACGGCAGATAAGAACCATTCGGCCCATCTAGTCTGCCCAATTTTCTAAATACTTTCATTAGTCCCTGGCCTTATCTTATAGTTAGGATAGCCTTATGCCTATCCCACGCATGCTTAAACTTCTTTACTGTGTTAACCTCTACCACTTCAGCTGGAAGGCTATTCCATGCATCCACTACCCTCTCAGTAAAGTAATACTTCCTGATATTATTTTTAAATCTTTGTCCCTATAATTTAAGACTATGTCCTCTTGTTGTGGTAGTTTTTATTCTTTTAAATATAGAAAAAGAAAAAGGGTAATAGGCGCTCACTATAGTGAATTGTGAACAAGCAGCAGTATACAAAACAAGGATTCCCAAAAACCTTGTGGATAGATAAGAAGAAAAAGAGAGCATCTACCACGCTAATAATTTATATAAATACAAGATGTACATATATTCACAGGTATTTCCAATAAATCGAAAACCTCGGAATAAAATAGAATAAAAAAATAGAGCAATACATTAAAATTATATCGTGAAGTGGTGAATATCAGGGGCGGACTGAGAACCCTCAGGGCCCCCGGGCAAAATAAATCAAGGGCCCCCTTACAGGCCCCACCCATACTCTGCAGCAAGCGCCACCCTTGTCCCGCCTCCATGCACCGCCTCCAGCCACACCCTACACAATCTTTGGACACAAGGAACAAAAGGGCAATAAGCCCTTCGAGGCCCCAGTAGAGACTACAATTGAGGGCTAATGGGCCATGGAGGGGGGTCTTTCTAGCGGAGGCTATCTCAGTGTCCTTTAGAGAGTGTGTTAGAAAGAATCCCCTCAAGGCCCCATTAGAGACTACAATGGAGTCTATTAGGCTTGGAAGGGGGTCTTTCTAACAGAGGCCATCTCAGCGTCCATTAGATATCCCCTGCTGGAAACAGTCGCCTCCAGGCCCCAGTAGAGACTACAATTGAGGGCTAATGGGCCATGGAGGGGATTTCTAGCAGAGGCTATCTCAGTGTCCTTTAGAGTGTGTTTAGAAAGAATCTCCTCCAGGCCCCATTAGAGACTAATGGGGCCTGGAGGGTGGTCTCTCCAACACTCTGGTTCCTATTCACAATATAGCAACACAACATAGCTCGCTGATACCTAGGCCAAGTTGGCTCCTCTTACCTTAATTACTGTTGCTGGCTGGCAGTCTGTGGGCTTGCTTGCTGTGGCTGGCAGGCTGTGGGCTTGCTGGCTACTGCCGGCAGGCTGTGGGCTTGCTGACTGCGGCTGGCAGGCTGTGGCTTGCTGGCTGCGACTGGCAGGCTGTGGGCTTGCTGGATGTAAGCCTGTGGCTTGCTGTAGGCCTGTGGCCTGGCTACTGGCCTGTGGGCTGGCTAACTGGCTGGCTAACTGGCTGGCTACTGGCCAGCCTGTAGGTTGGCTGGCTGGCTACTGGGGCACTTGTAAATTATTTAAAGAAATAATCTATGCACAATTACCACTACTGCTCCAGAGTAAGTAGTCAAACCATTTAAGAACAGTTTAACAACTTACCTGGGATCTGCTGGGATATGGGGCTGTAGTAGGGAATAGGAGCAGTGGTGCAATGTGTGTGAAAGGTTCAGTGTGTGTGTGGGGGTGTAGTGTGTGAATGTGTAGGGTGTGTGGGTTGTGTATGTGTGTGGCAATGTTAGTATGGGGGGCTGTGTATGGGGGGCTGTGTGTATATGGGTGGGCAGTGTATGTGTGTGTGTGAGGCAATGTGTGTAAATGTGTATAGTGTGTATGGGGGCAGTGTGTGAATGTGTATGGTGTGTGTGTGGGAGCAGTGTGTTTATGGGGCTAGAGTTCACTCTCACCACTGCGACCACCAGGAATCCCTGGGGGTCACAGTGTTGAGAGTGAACACTAGACCGTAGCTCCAGGGCTAGAGTTGACTCTCGCAAGAGCGATAACGTTGCCATGGTAATCGCGGCAACGCTCTGTGCTCGTGCAAGAAGGACCCAGAGGAGCTGCAGGGTGAGCTCCCAGGTCCTCTCTTCCTCCCTCCTCTGCCCGCATGGTGCCTGCGGACAGGGGAGGGGCAATTGCCCTGTTGCCCCCCTGGATCCACCAGTGATATCTACAGCCCTTCTGTGTGCCTTTTTGTCTCCCCCCATCCCTCTGTATGTTTCTTCCTCCCCCCCTCCTTCCCAGTCTCTCTTACCCCTCTGCCTCTTTCTCCCTCTCTTCCACTGTTTTTCTCCCCCCTTTCCCTGTCTCTCTCTCCCCACATCTCTCTTCCTCTCTGTCTCTTTCTCCCCCTCCCCATCTCTTTCTCCCCCTGTGTCTCATTCTTCCCTCTCTGTCTCTTTCTCCCCCTCCCCATCTCTCTATTCCCCCTCTTTCTCCCCGTGTCTCATTCTTCCCTCTCTGTCTCTTTCTCCCATCATCTCTCTTGCCCCTCTTCTCCCTCCCCATCTCTGTTTCCCCCCTCTCCCCATCTCTCTGTGCCCCTCTTTCCCCCCCTCCCCATCTCTCTGTGCCCCCTCTTCCCCTCCCCATCTCTCTTGCCCCCTCTTCTCCCCTCCCATCTCTCTGTTTCCCCTCTTCTCCCCATCTCTCTGTGCCCCCTCTTCCCTCCCATCTCTCTGTTCCCCCTCCCCCATCTCTCTGTTCCCCCCCCTCTTCCCATCTCTCTGTTCCCCTCTTCCCCCATCCTCTCTATTGCCCCCTCCCCATATCTCTCTATTGCCTCTTCCCCCATATCTCTTGCCCCTCTTCCTTATCTCTATTGCCCCCTCCCCATATTTTTGTGCCCCCTCTTCCCCCATCTCTCTATTTGCCCTCTTCCCCCAGCATGTCTCTCTTGCCCCTCTTTTGTATCTCTCTATTGCCCCCTCTTCCCCGCCATCTCTCTGTGCCCCCTCTTCCCCATCTCTCTATTGCCCCCTCTTACTCAAGTCTGAGGGGGCCGGCCGTTTCATGCTGGAGCCGCCGGACCGGGTGGCAGCCTCGCCGGTCCGGCGGCATTCCTCTCACTAACACAGAAGAAGGAGGAGGAGGAGGAGCATGTGTCTATCATGCTCCCTGCGGTTCCCACAATTCCCAACACAGGATGTGGGAACCGCAAAGGAGCATGATGGACAGATGCTCCTCCTCCTCCTTCTTCTGTGTTAGTGAGAGGAATGCCGCCGGACCGGCGAGGCTGCCACCCGGTCCGGCGGCTCTAACATGAAACGGCCGGCCCCCTCACAGTGTGCCACCGGGCCGGCCACCCGGTGGTACCTTCTGCTGAAGTCCCCAACCCAGCCCTGCCGCCGGGCCCTCGGACCGTGTCCGAAGTGCCCGACCGGTCAGTCCGCCCCTGTCCACTTGTAACTCTACCCCTAACCCTAGTTTTAGGGTTAGGGGTAGAGTTACAAGTAGGATTAGGGCTAGGGTTAAGGCAAGGGTTAAATTCCTTTCATCATTCCCTTAATTTTCCCTCCCTCTCCTGTTTTGCCACTTTTCAGAAGCATCCAAATGCCAGAATTGCCGAAATTCGGCCGAATTTAAATTTGGACTGAAACGAATTGCACGTGTCTACTAAACAATCCGGACACTGCTCATGGGATTCAGAAATGTCCAGATTTTGTAATTCAGACTCCGAACTGGCCTGAATTAATTCCAGATTTTAGCCGTACCGAACTCTGCTCGATGATTGAAATCCGAACAGAATTAATTGAGTGCCCATAGACTTCAACTCGGGGCTCGGATATAAGAAAAATCTTGCTAGCGTTGTCAGTGGGCATATCGACGAATCCAGGATTAATTATATGGCGGCAAACCAGCGCTTGCTAGGCAGCTGCCACTTTCAAAAAGTTTTACAAGATTAATTGATACATAAAAATCCTATGTGGGTTGATACGACTCACATATTAATATAAAGGAGGGATTGCCATGTGGGGGGATGTCTGCTAAATATTTAACGCTAGGGGCAGGGCAGCCATTACAGTCATTCCCCGCTATCAGCTCTTATTCTGCGGTGAGGGAAGATGGTTTACAAGTTTGTTTTTTCCTTGAGGGGTTTTTTGTAATCGGCCTTTTTAAATTTTAATTAGTGGCGTTGGTTATTATTTGGCCTTTTTTGGCTGAAGAACAAAAGAATGGCAAGAAACAAGAGTTCTGATGATAAGTATGATTTATTTTTTACAGGGTTTAGGTGTGTGTGGCCCCTGGTACAATTATTAGGGTGGAAGGAAGTATGTAAGGACTTTACTTTTGTGACATAACTAGGGAATTGGGGACTACTAGGCACTGGGGGGGGGGGGAGCATGCTATTATTAAGGGGTGTGGACAATGGCATGTACAGCCCCCTATTTCATAATTAATTAGGGTCCCTCTCTGCCACCCATGTGTGGGGGGAGTGGGGAATAGGTCCCCCCCTTTTATTATTAATATTAGGTCCCCTACTTGCTGCCCATGGGTAGGGACTAGGGGGAGACAATACATCCCCCCCTTTTATAATTCATAGTTATGTAGATGAAAAGAGACTTGCGTCCATCAAGTTCAGCCTTCCTCACATATGTTTTTGCTGTTGATCCAAAGGAAGGCAAAAAAAACCAGTTTGAAGCACAATTTTGCAACAAGCTAGGAAAAAATGTCTTCTTGACCCCAAAATAGCAGGCAGTTATCTCCTTGGATCAAGCAGCTATTACCCCACTAATTAGAAATTATATCCCTGTATGTTATGTTTTTGCAAGTATTTATCCAATTGCAGTTTAAACATCTGCATGGACTCTGATAAAACCACCTTTTCAGGCAGAGAATTCCATATCCGTATTGTTCTTACTGTAAAAAAAAAAACATTTTCTTTGCCTTAGATGAAATCTCCTTTCTTCCAGCCTAAATGTGTGACCTTGTGTCCTATGTATAGCCCTGTTTATGAACAGATATCCAGACAATGGTTTGTACTGGCCCTGAATATATTTGAATAATGTTATCATATCCCCTCTGAGGCACCATTTTTCCAAACTAAAGAGATTAAAATGTTTTAACCTTTCTTCATAATTAAAATGCTCCATTCCTTTTATCAATTTTGTAGATCGTCTCTGTACTTTTTCTAGTGCCATGATATCCTTCTTTAGAACAGGTGCCCAAAATTGCACATCATATTCAAGGTGTGGTCTTACCAGCGATTTATAAAGGGGCAAAAATATATTTTCATCCCAAAAACCTCTGCCCATATATATATATACATGACAAAACATTACTGGCCTTAGCAACTGCCGATTGACATTGCATATTGCTGCCTAATTTGTTGTCTATAACAATTCCCAAATCCTTCTTGTGTGTGGTTATCCCTAATTCACTACTATTTAGTGTGTAAGTTGCTTG